CCTGAACTACAATAATCTCACCAAAGGTGTCATTTTGTTTCTAATTTCATTATCTTGTATCTGCCCTCAACATTGCTGTTATCTGTCAAAACTATCAATCTAAGCCTGTTATTAATCTGCCTAAAACCCTTTCGCAGCTCCCTACACGGAAAAGGCAAAGTAGGCTTTCTAGTGTATTCAAGGGCCTTCATGCTTTTGGCCCTGCGTATTTCCCAATCTTATTACGCACCACTTTCTCCATTCTCCTCACCAAAGACATGATTTATACTTCAATAAACAAGTTTCTGGGGCAGGGGATTTAGCTCAGTGGTGCCAGCACCTGCCTCGAAAGCACAAGGTCCTGAGTTTGATCCCCGGTACCAAAAACAAGTTTCTGAACATTCAATGATCTTTCATATCTCCCTGCTCTTTTTTTAAGGATGTGATAATAGTATTGTTTTGTTTTTTTTAAAGCCCTCGCCTTTCAGAAATAAACGCTTGAGGACTTAGGAAAGAAATGTTATCTGAAATCTGCTTCAAAGTAATACAGGAGGGAAGGAAATTGATAGGAATAGAGATGAAATAAATTTAATGTCTTCAACTGAGCTTCCATAGAACTTTGATCTATAACACTTTTGTAGCATTTACTTCACTTCAATATTTCAAAAAATTTTCACCATTTCCTCTGTGCTTACAAAATACTCTGCATTACCTATTTATATACTTTTTCATACTCAGCTGTAATAGCTTGTTTTGGTCTCTTCCTCCAAGAACTATGAACTATTAAAAATCCAGCAATTTTGCTGTTTTTCTCCAACACTTAGTTTATAGTCCATCAATAAAATGGTTTTGCCAGGGATTTAATTCAGTGGTTCCACCACCTGCCTCACAAGCGCAAGGTCCCAAGTTCGATCCCCAGTACCAATAAATAAATAAATGCTTCTGAATGAAGACAACAGAAAGGAAACATGAGCAGGAGTAAAAATAATATGATTCCTTTTTCTCATATAAACACTTTTTACATTAAAAAGAAAAGTAATGGGCCGGGGATTTAGCTCAGTGGTTCTCCCGCCTGCTCTGGAAGCACAAGGACCCGAGTTTGATCCCTGGTACCAAAAAAAAAGTGAGGCTGTAGGTATCTGGGTGGCTTCTATTAGAATGAGCTATATAAAGTATCTAAGCTCCCTTCAAATTATTTCCTAATATTGCTGAAATTCAGTATTCAATAACATTGTAATTCCACAAAGTTCCTGCCTTCTAGGATACAGTGGAATATTATTCAATAATAAAAAGAATAAAGTACATGCCACAACACGGAAAACATGAAAACATCATGCTAAATGAAAGAAACCAATCACAAAAGACCACCTGTTACAGTGCCCCATTTATATGAAACAGGAAATGTACCAAGACAAAAAAGACTGGTGGTTGCTTAGGCATAGTGGGAATGAAGAGGGTTGGTGGGAATGACAGCTAAAGGGTATAGGTTTCTCCTTGGGGTGATGAAAATTTTTAATTAACAGTGGTAAATAAATAAATAAATAGTGATGATGGTTGTACGACTTTGTGACTATACTAAAAAACATGAAATTGCAGGCTTTAAATGAATGAATTCTTTGGTATATCTCGATAATATATCTCAATAAAGCTGTTACCAAAAAATTTATTTCAACATTTAAATTGAACCTAGGATTAGAAAAGAACACTTCTAATTAAAAGGCATGGGAGATGTCAACAAGACCTAAAGACTGACATCTCACAGATCATGTTACTATCGGAGGTACCCAAAGAATATTCTGTTGCCTGCAGCTGTTGAAAGGCAGTCTCTGACGCATCATCACCAGATCTTCTCCAGCTTTCTCTACTTCACAGTGATGTTTCACAAAATGGCTTCTTGATTACCCAGCTGCATAGTATAACTCCAGGTGGCTGAAGACTACTTACAAAGAGATTAGGGACAGTCTGGCAGCTGGATCAGATTAAAGGGGAACTAAGAAGCAACCTAAGTAACAAGGGGACGATTCTAACTTGTACTGCTCAGCCAGCCAGAAAACTCCTAAGGACCATGAAGAATATCACCATATCTAACCTGACCAGAAGCAAGCTAAAAGCCAATAGCTACTGGGAGAGAAGAAATACACTGCTAAAACCTCAGATGAGGGATGATGTCCACAGACATGGAGCTGTAACATTAAGCAAAAGCTGCACTCTTCTTCTGTCCTTTCACTAACCAAAATGGCATTCTATACAAACTGCTTCACTTAACTCCACTCCCACCAATTTCTCAATCCATTACAATTTACCTCTTCCATCTCCTTACTCACACATGCTTTACTGAAACTCTTCTAATTAAAATACCAAACATTTCCTAATTGCACAACAAAAAAAGCTGGCTTTCTCCTTAGCGGCTGACACTTGTAGGGATTCTCTAGTCCTTGACAATATTGAAAACACTCAAGGTTTTTCGTCTACCTCCTCTTCTCAAAACTCTGATTTTCATGGGCTCGTCTCCTCTGCCTAAGATACCCAAAGATCCGCACTTGACATTCTTATTCTAACAAGCATTCTCAGGGGTCCACCATCCATTTCTATGCAGAAGATTTTCTATATTATACTGTCAGAAACTTCTCTAGCCATACCTCTCTCAAAAGCACCAAATTCACATTTTCAACTGCCTAGAAAAAATAACCACCAGACTGTCTCTGACAAGCAATTCAAACTTTCTAACAGGTCCTAATCTTTTTTCCCCCCACAAAACTTACTCTTCTTGGGTAATTATGACCAGGGATCCAATCTTCCAAGGTACAAGTCTTATGGTGGTCCTTAAATTACCTTTCCCCCCTCAAATCCCCATCCCTGTTTTATGTCACCAAATCCCATCCATTTTACTTTCTAATCCCTTGAGTCTACCCCACTCCCAACCCCTTTACTATTAAGGTCTTGGGGTCTTCTTTATCTTATACATAAACCATTTCAACTATTCTCTATCAGTAATGTCTCCCACGCCTATTATTATTCCCTACTGCTACCAGGATTATCTTCCTAAATTCAAAATTGAAACAAGATATCACATGTTTCTATGTGTGACAAAAACTAAAAAAGGACAATAATATCCGGTGTTGGTTAGAGACTAGGGAAATGGACTATCTCAGAGTCTCACAGTGAGGGGAATTATATCAGGCAAAATACTGAGGCAATATAACCAAACTTGTAAATCTCTATACCCTTTGATGGAACAGTTCTATTTCTAGAAATTTATTCTAAGAAACTAAACAGAAAGTCCACAAACAAGTATATCCTGAAGTTCTCCTCATTCCCAGCAAAGGTCAAGACCCCCTCCCCCGTCTTTATATACAATGCCATTGGCCTGCAATGTCTGCATCCCACCCATGCCCTTTTCTATCATCTAAAACTAGAACTTGTCCTTGACTCCAAAGGTCAGCTACTCCCTCCGGTCTCCCCAAGAATTCAGGCACACCTCTACATCTCACTGCAACCCTTCTCTTCCCCCAGGGACAACAGTTTTATGTACTCATTTATTTAGTGCATACCCATATGTGCACTATCTACAACAGTAGTGTCTGGCACATAGGAGTCCAATAAACATGTTGAGTGAAGGTATTTTCCTCTTTAGAGCAAAAATTCTTTGATTTCCAAAATCTCAAGAACTTTTAAAAGGTATTTCCTAAAATGGTGGTGGACTCTAGTATATTATATTAAATTCCTGTATTAAAACAGGTATGTAAGCAAATACTCCTATAAAATTCTAAATAGTTTGAGTCCTTGCTTATTTAACGTTTAGTTCCTTAAGGCATAAGAATTCCCACGGAGGGCCGGGGATTTAGCTTAGTGGTTCCACCACCTGCCTTGCAAGTGGAAGGACCCCAGTTCAATCCCTGGTAACAAAAAAAACTGAGAAGAATTCCCATGGTCTAGTCAATCTAGAATTTTAACTCTGAAAGTGGTACCAAGAAATATGTTGTAAGAAGACATGACTATTCCAGATGCCAAGTTAAACATCTACAGGTGTGTCTCAAAAACCTTTTCTTCAATAACCTAATATGAACCCACCATACTTAAAATCCTGTTTAAGAATCATAGTTCAGGGCTGGGGATTTAGCTCAGTGGTTTCACCGCCTGCTGTGCAAGCACAAGGACCAGGGTTCGATCCCTGGTACCGAAAAAAAAAAAAAAAATCATAGTTCAATATTATACCAGAGCTTTTTCCCATGCTGTTCCTTATATAAACTATTTTTTACATATAATTATAAGCAGTACAGCCGGGCGTGGTGGTGCACACCTACAATGCCAGCATTCAGGAGGATGAGACAGGAGAACTATTTCGAGTTTAAGGCCAGCCTGGGCTACATAGTGAGTTCAAAGCCAACCTAAACTGCATAGTGAGACTCTGTCTCAAAAAAAAAAAAATTATAAGAAGTACAGTATTGTGCATCCAAGAACATAAGTGCACATTTCAGGTTCTGTCTAGTGGCTCCCTGTACCTATAAACATACAAAAATATAAGTAGTTTAATTATGCATTTTTCTAAGTTGAACTCCTTGTACTTTTCTAAAGAAGGGCCGGGGATTTAGCTCAGTGATGCCGTCGCCTGCCTTGCAAGCTCAAGGTCCTGAGTTCTATCCCTGATACCAAAAAAAAAAGTCTAAAGAGTTCCTAACTTAAAAAAAAAAGACTTCCCAACTTTAATAGAGGCTCATAACAGCCTAATCACATCCTTCATGATTTTATCAAGTTCAGTTCTATTCCTTTCAGCCTGTGTTTTTCTAGACTGAAGAAATCTCATCTTTTTGCTGTGTCCTTAATACAGAAGCAACTCCTGGTTGGCATCATTTCGCTTTTCTTAATTTTGAGTTATCTTACAGACTCCAAATTAAAACAGTGCAGGTAGGCCAATGAAATTTACTTTAACTGTATAGAAACAGGCAAGAAAATTTCACCTGACTTAAATTAGCAAAGTAGTCTCCAAAAACACCTCTAACAATCTGTGCCCCAGGACTTACAGGAGATCATAAGGTAGTCCTCACAGTTGCTTTTGTCGTCATCTTGCTGGTCCACGGGGATCCCGTTGGCATCTATGACTGCTTCAGAGGCACAGTCTTCTACTAATACTTCTTCTGAAACTACGTCAGTGGTCAGAGGATCGGTGACAATCTCTGCCTCTACGACACTATCATGAACCACATGTTCAACATGTCCAACATCAGACACATGTATAGACTCACTGGTCAAGACATGTTCTGGCATAGACATGGAGGCTGAAGTAATGTCAGAGGCTAAGACATCATCTGGAACTGTGCAATGTGCTAAAGAAACTTCTTCGGTTACATCTGAGTCCAGCACTTGTTCAGGAATGATGACCGTTTCAGATACATCTGCTTCTCCCATGATATCTGGGCACTGCACATCTTCTATAACAACATCCTCAATAACATCTTGGATTACAACAGAGTCTGGGTCATCAGGAACAAAGTTATGCACAGTTATGTCCGAATCCACAACATCTGACACAAAAACAGTTTCTTGCACTTCCACGACAATTTGTTCACCATCCATGTGTGTAACAGCTCCTTAAAAAAAAATTAAAAGGACAAATACCAGGTAGGCATGTATGACTGTCTCTATTAACATAAAATGTTATTCAATTTCTAACCGCACAATATTAGTTCCCTCATCAGTTCTCCCACACATTAAGGTAGATTAAAGAAAAAAAAGGGACTCCATTTTTCAATTATATTAGAAAGATAGTTTTAATACAACAGCTTGTATAGTCACCTCAAATCAATTAGCAGATAAATATATACTAGGAAAAGAAAAAAACTGAGACAGTCACAGAAGAAAAATATTTGTGAAAGTAAAATTGTAGGCACATTAAAATTAAACTCATTCACAGGTATTTCAGGGGTTATAAAAAGTGATGTGACTTCAGGTGGCAAAAGGCACTATTTCATTTTTCATTACATGTGTTTTTCATTTCTTTTCCTTCTTGCTCCATCTCCCTCCCTCTCCTCAAATCATGGTTTTTCTTCTTCCCATCTTTCCCATATACTTCTTTTATTTCTCCTCTACTTTGTCCCTTTCTTCCTTTATATCATTCTCCTTTCATTCTAATACAAGAGAGCACCAACATCCTCCATCCATGACTACGGAAATTTAGAAATCAACCTCTGATTCTAAGACATAAAAGGATGAGGGCATAAACGAAAACAGGGATACAAGGTCACATTTTGGAAGAAAGACAACTGGTTAAGAACACTGTGGATAATACAAACACAAGTGCAGCTGTGCTGGGCAGGTGAGGGTGAGGGTAGTTAGAATGGGCTTATCCCAACTTCACCAGGGTACTCTGCCTCGTCCCTGCTCCCAGACCCCAACTCCTCACAATCCAGGAAACTTCACTCTAGGTCATTTTGCAGTTAAGGATTGAACGTAGAGGAATCAAGTGTAGCCCAGTGAGATTAAATGACTTAACCAAGATCACATAGTTTGTACAGCATATGGTACTCTGTAAACATTACTCTAAGTGAATGCCACAAATGGGAATAAAAACCATATATCCTTGCTAAAAACAAAATTAAAAAAACAGTATCTTGACTGCTGGTCCAGAGAAGAGCAAAGAAAGTTTTATAGAAGTCTTACTGAAAAAGCTATGAAGTAGATTAATGCTTCTGGTTGTGACTCAGATGAGGCCGAGTCCAAGCAGGCACCTAACTCGATGACTGTGCAGGCCCTCAGAGAAGCCTACAGCTTTGTCAACAAGCAAAAACGATCAAAGGCCAACAAATATTAAAAATTATAGGAGCTGGGGATTTAGCTCAGTGGCACTGTGCCTGCCTTGCAAGCTCAAGGTCCTGAGTTCGATCCCCGGTACCAAAAAGGAAAAAAAACAAACCAAATAAAAATTATAGGAAGTCTTTAAAGTCAGTTAATGCCCATTTTAATTCTAGAAATAATGAAAAGAATATGCTCACTTTAAATTCTAAGGAACTTCTACAACATGGTATAAACAACATGATTTGCCTGCAATATCCTCAACATTATCATCAAGTGATAGGTCACTCTAATCTCCATTTGGCAGACATGAACATGAGACCATTTAGCGGCAAGAACACTGGTTATAAACTCTACTTCAGGCAGAAAGGTTATACACTTAATAGTTTTGTGACCTTGGGCAAGTCATTTAACCTCTGAGTTTCAGTTTCCTCATCAGCAAAATGAGGACAGTAGTATCTGCCATGCATACCTCACAGGACTGTAGTGATGACCAAATGGGAATGTATGGGAAGTGTTCTGAAAAACGGTAATGAGAGGTTTCATTATTATTATGGCATATGAAAATGGAGGCCCTGGTAGATTAAGTGACTTGCTCAAAAATAAACAAATACCATAAGTGTTAACAAGCAGGGCTAAAAATGTAATAGCTTTTCAATCTACCCTTAACCCATGACCCAGATTTGCTTGCAGCAAGACTAAGCAAATAAACACTCTATATTTTTCTCCAAAGAGCTTGGTCTCTCTTTCAAGCAAATTATGCTTCATGTTCCACTGAAATTATCAGTGTTACGTTTGTCATTATCAAACTGAAATTACCAAACTTTAAAGTTATTCCAAGTAGTTAAGAAAAAAATACACCCTGCCCCACTAGAATTTTAAATTTTTTAAATTAAGTTACTGATACTTGTTATTTCTTTAATATATTACAACCTGATTATTTAAAGCCGAACAGAAAATTCATTAACATTTTATTTGTAAGAATACCTAGGTTAGTGTGATATAAAACCATTTTACATTACAAAAGCAAGTATAATCACTTTACAATGTTATATAATTAGAACCATGAGTAATTCAAAATTGTGAATGAATATGATTTTCCTGTGTACTTTGGGGAGTGAGGTAAGACTGTCCTCCTGATGCAGAAGGTTCATTTTTGAAACTTGTGAGAATGAATGCTGTAAACATAGGACAGGGTCAGAATGTGGAGGACCTTGGGCTTATACTTCATCTGCTGGGTAATATAGAACAAAGAGATGACATGATGTACATGTCATGATAAGTGCTCTTATCAGTGGGCATGATAAAAAAGACATAGGGTAATAAGGAAAATAATGCAAAAGTTCCAGCACATGAAGAAAGATAATAGAATCTATACGATAGAAATATAATGAAGAGGAATAGATGTAAACAAGGAACATTTTCAAAGGGACAACCAACAGAACGGTGCAAGATGAGAATAACTGAAAACACAAAGGTTTTAATATTGCTGCTTTTACCAATTGGGTATCCCTTAACCAGAAGACTTGGGACCAGAAGTATTTGTAGATTTCAGATCTTTTCAGATTTTGGAATAGTTGAATATACATTATGAAATATCTTGGCAATGGGTTCCAAGTCTAAACACAAAATTCACTATGTTTCATATATACCTTATACAGATAGCCTGACGGTAATTTTATACAATATTTTTAGTGTGTCTGGGTTTGACTGCAACTCATTACATGAGGTCAGGTGTGGAATTTTCTACTTGAGAGTCATGAGGGAACTCAAAAAATGTTTTGGATTTTGGGTTAGGGATGCTCAACCCATATTCACAAGAATGTGAGAATTCTTGTGAAGGAGCCACATTTTTGAGGTGGAGAATAATGTGCTCACTTTAACATTTGTAGACTCTGACAGGCTAAGAATGAATATCAATGTGAGAGTCTAGCAATTCGTCAACATGTTAACCAAGCAAGTCTAAGGTGGTAAATTAAAAGTGGAATGATGCAAGTAGTTATACCTGTTGCATCAAAAAATGAATTTGGCCCTTGTGGTTGTAATTCAAGTCCATCTTCATCCATGGCCTTTAATTCTCATCAGTCACAGCTCCTAAATCAAGGGAAAAAGTAAACCAAGCATTAATTTTTTTAATCATGTACTAAAAATGTCATCACGAGGGCTGGGGATACAGCTCAGTAGCACCGTCCCTGCCTGGCAAGCACAAGGTCTTGAGTTCGATTCCTGGTACCCAAAAAAAAATTATTAAAAATGTCATCATGATAGTTTCATTTCTAAGACACTCAAATTATATAGCAAATGAACTTATATCAAAAACAAGGGCCGGGGATTTAGCTCAGTGGCTTCGCCACCTGCTGCGCAAGCGCAAGGACCCGAGTTCGATCCCCAGTACCAAAACAAAAAAAAACAAATTAGAGGCTGGAGGATCTTTGTAAGTTCAAGACCAGCCTGGGCTACATAGTGAGTTCAAGGCCAGTCTGAACTGCATAGCAGGACCCTGTCTCAAATAAAAAAAACAACAAAACCAAACCAAGAGTCACCATTGCCTAGACTTGTCTGTATTTGTTGTTTGTGGTACTAGGGATTGAACCCAGGGTCCTTGGCACTGAGTTACATCCTTAGCCCTTTTTAAATTTTTTTAGACAAGGTCTTGTTAAGTTGCTAAATAGCCCGGGCTGGGCTTGAATTTGTGATCCTCCTGCTTCAGCCTCCCAGAGTTTTGGGATTACAGGCACGTACCACCATGCTTAGACTTCATTTTAAATTGTGGTATTGGCCAGGATGCAGCTCAGTGGTGCTGTGCCTGCCTGGCAAGTGCAAGGTCCCAAGTTCGATTCCTGGTATCACAAATAAATAAATAGCAGTATTGATTGCATATATCGAATGTACACACCTTGATGAATTTTAACACATACAGAAACCTGCATAATCACTACCCAGACCAAGATATGGAACATTTCCAAGACTCCTCCTCTCAGTCTGCAGCATCTCGCGCTCCCATAAGGGTAACCAGTTTTGTTAAGGTTCAACTTAAACGTAAAGTTTGTAGCTTATTGGGGGGAAATGTCTGCCCAATTTTCATATTACTTCTCTAAATTTAATATATTCTGCTATCTTTCAACCAATTGTAGTAAACACTTTCAGATTTCTGCCTAATTTACAATGACCTCAATTAACTAACCATTTGATCTAGAGAAAGGAATTCCCACAGTTATTTATACTCTCCTGGCCCACAGGTGATTGGTGCTAGCTATAAAATAGTAAAAGTAAGTTCAATGCGAGCACAAATAAATCAAAGTCCTATTCCTGAGAATCTGAATAAGCAAGAATCAATCTTTCCCTCTCCCTTGATGGCTGGAACACAGGAACTGAGCAAGATCATTTTCCAACTTTGGTTTAGACTAGTGAGAAAAAGTTTACCAAAAAAGATCAACACTCAGGAGGAAGAGGCAGGAGGATCGCCACAAGTTCAAGGCCAGCCTGGACTATACAGTGAGACCCTGTCTCACAAAACTACAAAAAATCAAGTGAATGCCCTGAGAAAAAGAGTACATGACAAAGCAGGGAGAGAAGACTTACCAACAGCTTTTTGGCTCCTGATTCTATACCTTTCTGAGGCCCACCTACATTCCTGTCTTGGGTTTCTCCACAACATCCCAATGATCTTAATTCTCTCTTTTCTATGTAAGCTAAAAAAAAAACTTATAATAAGAACCTTAGTAAAAAAATATTAAAACTTACAACAAAGAACCTTAGCCAATGTGGTGGTTCATGCCTGTAACCCTAGCACTCTAGGAGACTGAGGCAGGAGGATATCAAGTTCAAATCCAGCCTAGGCAACTTAGCGAGACCAAGTCTCAAAAACTAAAAAAAGGGCTCGGGATGTAACTTTTAGTATGAATGCCCTGGGTTCAATCTCTAGTGCCACCAAAAAAAGAAAGAAGGAAAAGCTTAACTAATAAAAATGATGTATTGCTTAATACCATTTAATTATTATTTCAAGAGCAGGCATCAAGGATTACATTTGCTCATGCTTCCAGCACTGCATAATCTGTCACTAGTTTCCTATCTCTACTTTCTCACTTTCTAGTCCAACTGAACCACAATTAGATGCATCTTTCTTTAATCTTTAACATTTTTTCACTAATCATGTAAGGATTACGTGCTTACTGAAATTTCAAATAACAAAAATATCTGACATGTTTCTAAAGTATCAGCTAAGTGACATTATTCCTCTGTTCAAAAATGTTCATGGCTCTCTGCCACCTCCAAATAAATTTCTTTTTGGCTCCAAACGACCTTTTAGTCACTATATCCTCTTCAATTCCTGCAAGCACCTCCCTACATCACCACGAATCCCTCATGCACACACTTCACCCAAACAAAATGCTCCATGTCCCTGTAAGAAATTCAGAATTTGTATAATAAATGAGATTTCCACATGTTAGCTATGAGACACTCTCTTCATTCTCAAGAAATAGTATGTTTCACATGATTTATTCAAACTGCTTCAAATTAAAGCAAATAATGGCTAGATTGATAAATTGTTCAACCATGGAAAACACAGGTATAAATGCTTTGAATAAGCTGTCACTGCCCTCTCCCTGCTGAACTCACCTCTGGCTATAAAATTATTTTGCCCCTTTAAAAATGTAATTATAAAAAAAAAAATGTAATTATAGGGCCGGGGATTTAGCTCAGTGGTTCCGTCGCCTGCCTCGCAGGCACAAGGTCCCAAGTTCAATCCCCGGTACCAAAAAAAAAAAATGTAATTATAAAATGACACATATAAATTAATCCTCTAAACATAATGAAATATACATGAAATTTATGAGTGTTATCATTATGTATACCTAAAATGTACCAATAAATTTGCTTCAAAAAAAATTAAGCCAATTAAGTTAACAATAAAAGGGGATTTGTTAAGGTACTTAAGCCCCACCCCCTCAAACTACCATACATAAACCCAATCCCATCAGCTCTAAAAATTCTCAACCTACAGAACAATTCCTTTTCTTGGCTTTCACTACTAGAGTGGACCAATAATCCCTTCATTTTTTAAATTCTCCCCTTTCTCCATTGCTTTAGCCAACATTCTAGCTCGCTTCCTACCCTCTGAACTGCTTGCTACTCTGCCTCCCTCACCCCCTCCTGAAGTCTTGCCTAGCCCTGGAAACTCTGCTCTCTTCTCTTCAATTTTCTCACTATTTCCTTGGTTTCAACTACCATTTACACAAAGGTGAGTCATAAAATTCACATTGAGTACTCAAGATAGCACCTAACACCTCCACCAGACTGTCTGCTGAGTCCTGTATTTTCATCTGGATAAAACCCAACTTTCTCCTAATGTGACCACTATGGCCTTTTCTTTCTTCCCTGCTTACATCCAGTCAGGTGGCCAGACCTTATTGATTACCTGTCCCTGTTACACTCCCTAGTCACCATTCCCTCTCAGCTTGGTATTTCCTGATCCCTTGGGAATGAAAATAGCCTCAAGTGGCCCAATCATTTTTAACTAGATTTAGGTGAGCAGGGATCAACAAACTGTTTTGACTAGTTATGTTCCCTTCTCTTTTGTCATTTCAAAAACTCAAACATGGCGCCAGTCCTGGTGGTGCACGCTGTGGTCCCAGCACTACGGAGGCTGAGGCAAAAGACCAGCCTGAACTACACAGTGAGACCCTGTCTCAAAAAAATAGAATAAATAAAAATAAAAATTCAAACATGGAAAAAACACATTTTGCGCTTCCAAGGAGAAATAATTATACCTCAACTTTGTAACCCCTCTGGGTTTAGAACTGCTAATTCCCTCTGACAATCAAAATGAAGCCAGTTCGCAGATTGAGATAAAGTAAGGGTACAAGAAAGTGGGCTGATAATATAACAGAAAGCGCCCTACATGTGCAGCAGAACCAAAGTCTGAGACCAGACAAACAGAATGACTCAGAGAAGAAAGAATCAAAGAATATGGGAGGAAAAAAAAAAAGAATATGGGAGAACAAGTACTAATATCAAATGCCCTCAAAATACTTCTGGGACTGCACCATCACCTCAAAGTCGGTAAAATATTCTCTTCCTGGCTGCAAGAGACATGATCTTTAATTTATTCTGAAATAATTCACAGTGGAAAAATGAAGTTTTAAGGGAAATAAGGGGCTGGGAGAAACCCAGGAAATCAGGAAATTCACAAAAATTTCCCCTCTGCTTGGTGGTGGTAGTGATTGAACCCAAGTCTCCACAGCAGCTCGCCTGCACCTCCGCAGCCAGCTAGGCATCCCTGCAGGACAGTGGCACCATGTAAAGCACCGCCCCTCTTTTCCTGCCACAGCACCCCTTCTGCAGTTCCATATGGACAAGCACTAGGCTCAGGGGGCAGATTGAGGGCATTATCCCGGCAGGAAAACCACAGGGGACACCTATTTTGGTGGCAAATGGCTTAGCTTTCCACACTTCAATTATCCAACTGTGTCCTTCTTCCAGGACCCCCTGCTTCTGACATTGGGGACATTACAGGGTGCCTATTTTCAGATGGTCCTTTCTACTGTCTCTATAGGGCCACAGATTCACTAAAGCTCTCTTGGGTTTTGTCATTAATTGATTACAAATTGATTTATTCAACCATAAATTCACCATATTTTGATGATGAATACGTAACTCTCAGGTTTTCTTATTCCTGGAGATTTATTTTTATATTTCTTTCTCAATGTGATTTCAGGAGAAAGTGTATGTTCTCTAATCTGTTGTGAATTTGAAGTCACTATGAATTTTTTTGTTTTATTCTTTTGAGACAGGGTCTCACTTTGCAGTTCAGGTTGGCCTTGAACTCACTATGTAGCCCAGGCTGGCCTTGAACACTTTGATCCTCCTGCCTCAGCCTCCCGAGTGCTGGGATTACAGGTGTGCACCACCACACCCAGTGAAGTTAATATGAATTTTTATGTGCCAAATCAAACACCACAGAAATACATTTTTTAAAAACTGAGATAGAAATTTAAAAATCAATAGCAGTAGAAGGTTACAACATTTTTGCTTTTGGTCTGTTTTGAGACAGGGTGTTGCTATATAGTTCAGGCTGTCCTTTTACTCACTAT